GCTCTGTCAGACACAGGGGAAGCTTCTAGCAGCTTCTCACAGAAGCCACCCACTGTAGCTCCCTCCCCCGCTACCAAAACCTTGCCATGCAAACCCAACACAACAAGCAAGGGTATATAGTTTCAGAGTCTGAAAAATGGATCCAAAGCAGATTTGTCACAAAGCCACATGTATTAGTCTTAGAATTAATTTTAGGAAAGGCTTCTAGTCTTATAACAATCACTCTGCAAATTTATTTCATCAGGCTTATAGGAAGGAAGCTGTTAAAGAACATAAAGCAAATGAGTAGTCCTGGGCATGAAAGATCAGATGAGTAAATTCTTACTACTGCTGTGGTTAAATCCCACTCCACGGTTTTTAATGCTTTGTGTTTCGTGGGTTGAATAGCTACATACTTCATAACTTTATAATTCTCTGCCTAGTAAACTGATCATCTATTAAATTACGTATGCTTTGTATCAGTGAAGAAAAATCAGTAAAAAAATATTATAAATAAGATTATCTTAGTAGCTTTTAAACTGGAAATATCTCCTTGTATGAGAAATTATTACATGGTTCACTCTGGTCTTGCAGTCAGTTATGGAAACCAAAAAAGTGCTGTAGTGAACTGAGAAGCAGGCAGTGATTCAAGAAATACAAGGCAATAGTGTCATTTCATGTCTGAGACGGTAATCTTAGATTATTTGGAGTCCACTATTAGGTTGGTCTACCTTAAGTCTGTTATCCAAGTGATCATCTGATTATAGTTTTCTGATTGTCCTCTTATTGCTTGTTAACTGTGATACCCTTATATGTATTTTCTTGCTCTGCATGAATTGGTCTGCTAAAAATGTTCTTAATAATATATGGGAACATAAAAAAAGAAGTCTACGACTCCTGCAAGGATTATTATTACATCAAGGGATTCCTTTAGGCACTTCTCATTCTTTATGGGTTGATCCATACCCTTGCATACAAATCAACTGTCTGCTTAGTATTCACAGCGAGAAGGGAAACTCAAAGAAAATAGACAAAGGAGCACTTACATTTATAATATCGGCTATAACACTTACTAAGCATCAGATAATGGCTTGGATGAAACGATCTCGATCAATCCAGTGTAGATGGAGAGCTTGGCAGGGAGGGATAGCAAAGGCTGAAGCGGTGCATAATGCGGGGACCGGCACGACGTCATGGCCGACGGCGGCGGCGCTTATTTTGATTCTCTGGGATCCTGTTGCACGAGGAGCGTTCAGACTGGTTATCTGGATATGATGGAAGTGTTTACACAGAAGGAGAAATCCAGGGGGATTTTTGATGTGTTGCGATGCATATGCTGCAGTGCTGATCATTATCTCTTAGGTTAGCCATGGTGAGCAAAAAATGACCGTAAAGGCTTCAGCGAATGAACTGTACTCATGTGGACAGAGAGGAAGGGTTGAGGCTTAGAAACCCAGCTGAAACTCCGGAGGCAGCAGGCACTTACGGAGCATTACTTCAGGGTTTGCAATTTTTCCTTCTCTGACGTTATTTCTCAGGAGAAATCCCCTTCCTTCCCAAAGTGCCTCACACAGCCCTTGGCTCCATTCCCCCAGCACCAGGGCTGGTGGGGAAGCCCCTGAGCACTGTGGTGCCACCTCCCTGGCACCCCCCGGAGCTGGTTCGGTGGCCCAAGGCTCACCACCGGCTCGCTTACCATGGCAGCAGCAGGAAAGTCGTTAGGAGTATTATCCTGTGGAGATGCTGGAAAAAGTGAAATTGGAAAAATTGCATTATTAGTCCATTATATTAAATTAGAAAGTTGACTTTGTGGGCTGCATTTGCTCAGAAATGGAAATAAATGTCTCCTCTCCTGTCTGATACTCCAGAGTTTTTAAAACCAGACTCTCTGACCAAAGACTTTCCATGATGCGCAGAAGTACATAAGGTGCCCAAAAGAAAAAAAAAAAATTGCATTTATTTACCATCTGATCATTATTTTTGCCTGCTGGAGATGGGAAGCATTGCAAGCCCTTCCTCCAGCACAAAGTCTCCACCACCTCCCTTCTCAGTTGGGCTGGGGTTTGGTGGGTTAAGCTCTTGCTGAGTGAAGAGTTTCTAAAAAGCTCACGATCACCTTTTAATAAGTCTCAAAATCAATGGGCTGCCACTGTTTATTACAGGATTTTGAGTGAAAAATGTGTTCTTCTGCTGTCTGCCCAGAGATACAGAGCCGATGATGTGTCCCTGAGCAGCACCCTTGATTTTGTTTTGGAAAGGGCCGTGTCGCTGCCCTCAGCGCTGCGCAGGATCGGGCTGCGGGTTTTGCTCTGGCCAGTTGGTAATGCATTTGTTTATCGCTCTCGCAGGGCCCGGGCCTTCAGTAAGAAATACAGTTTCAGTCTGGAGTCTAAACCTAATTCTGAGGGTATTGCTCATAACTCTTGAGGTCTGTTTATGTATGGACCAGAGCAGAAAAACCATGCTTTTGAAAATCGAGTTAGCCAGCACGGTCTGAAATACTAATAGCCTCCACATGCAGAAATGTGGTTCAACAGAGGGAAAATTGCATTAGCTGTGCTTTAATATGGCTGGCACGCACCAGGAGCAAAGTCCTCCCTGCACAAGGAGTGCAGACCTCTGTGAGGTCCGGCTCTCCCCCTTGTCCGCTGCCATCACTCCCGCGGGAGCATCCCTCCCTGCTGCTCCCCCATCCTGGTCCTGCAAAAAAACCCGGTGGGGAAAATCTGAGATAGTAATCAAAGCAATTTGACGTTGCCCGTCCTGAGGGATCTTTCACGTTGCCCAAGGAGGGCGTGCTTAGCACGCGGCGGGTGGGAGCACACAAAGGGCACCTCTGCAGCAGGACTCCTAAAATGACTGTCTCTTATCCAAGTACACTCCAGCAAGGGCAGCTAATGGCTGTGAAACAGAGTCAAATGAAACTATAATAGATGAAGTACGACAACAGAGTTTAAACAGTCATTTTACACTGGTTACCTGCGGTATTTTCCACATAACTTTGCTCCCTGGGTCAGACAGCCAATTAGGTTAAACTATCCATAATTTGGTTCAAATCTCCACTAGTTGGGTTGATTCTCTCCGCTGGCGCATTATCGCTCTTTCAGTGTTATTCCTCCAAGACCTCACATTATGTGTTATTTTTCATTGCAGATATTAAGTGAGCAAGTTGCTGCTTGTCAGGCAACTCGTGTAAAAACAACGCCATAAGCGAGAAGGAACAATTCAGAACTCAGTATTTGAAAGCATTTACACAGTCCCATGTAGTTGGTAGCCTATTTACATCTCGTTTCTACTGCTTCTGACCTAATTAGATCAGCTAATCCTTCAAACTAAAGCGGTTTTGATGGGATCTCTATACCTTGTCATATTGATGACCATTTAATTTCAAAGAAAAATAGTTACACAGGAAGAAATCTCTTACAGTGTCACAGGGACCATTTTTGGGAATCAATTTTTGTTTGATCTTTTTGTTGTTAGCTTTTTAATGGTATTTTCTGATTGGAAAAAAAAAACATTCTTGTATCTTATTTTGCTTCTTCACAGTCAAAAAAAAATTATTTTTTCATCTTCTTTAATTGATTTTTACTGCATACTGAATGTGTATAGTGCAGTGTAGTTTATATGTCTAAGAGAATGGAGACAAATGTTTTTAAACCTGATTCTTTTCTGTATCAGGAAAAAAACAAACAAATGGGAGCAATTTCATGTTTGAAGCAGAAGGAACAGATTGCTTCTGTGTTGCAGATGTGCCTTTTACATAAGGTTTCTGCTTCCCCTGAGGTACCCGTGAGTTAAGGATTCTGCCCAAAATAGGTCTGAATTGAACCAGCAGTCTCTATCATTATGTCAGAAAGTAAAAGCATGCTTCAAGATTCGCCGGGTTCACAATTAACCACTGAAACATAAACATGAACTCTGTAAAGCAGTTCTTAATTAAATGTAAAATCAAGGGAAACTCTTTTGTATTTCAAAGTTTCTAAGGGGAAGCTTATGATCTTCATAAGCCTAATAACAATTTTCAGAGTATGATATTAAAAGGAGAGAGACAGTGTGCTTGAATTTCTTCCTGTGCTGGAAGACAAGGGAGCACGTATCAGCATTTGGAGTTGCACCAGTTCCATATTGGCACGTTTTGTTGTGCTAATTTCTCAATAATGTCGCCCTGATGAGCATTACATGTCCTACTTAATATATTCGTTGGTAGCTTATTATATAAATGAACATGTACTAAATTTATCCGACTTTCTAATGGAAATTGTAAATTGAATTATAATAATTATCTACCTATCTCTGTTATTTCTTTCTGCCTAATTTGCTTGCAGAGTCTAAGCTCTGGTAGGTTTTGTGCTTGTTATTTATAGTATATATATATTTAGCTTATTCTCATTGTATTTGCATTGTATCTGTTCTGCAGAAGCAGGTTTTCAGGGATAATTTGATTGTTCTCTGATCAATATGAAGGGCTCATTTGTTTGAGAAATGCCTTTGATCTAATTGAATTGAGAATTATTGCCAATATATTGTTATTTAAATTCAAAATGGATTTTTACAAATTATGCTATCAGCAGAGTTAGTTTTTTCCAGTGATAAATACGAAGTTAAAGATAGCATCTGAAAGCAAAGCACTGAGGAAATTTTTCTGGTTTGTAATGTGTTTTAGAGGGGCACCTGCTTTATTTAGTTACGAAATTAATGTCATCTCCGGGAGGAGTTCTTGCATGGTGTACACTGATGTTCTGCAGACCAGCGGCATTTCCCAAAGTTTGCCCAGAGCCCCTGCCTGGATTGTGAGGGCAACTAAGCAGTTTCTCAAAGATTTTGAAATCTGCAGATGACAATTGAATGTGCGAAGCTAAATAAAGTTGACAGCCCGGCTGTTATTCAGGTGCCTCGGTAGGGATTCAGGAGTTAACGTAACACCAGGTTAGAAGAAGTATTTGGTCAGGTAGAGGAAATGTTTAATGGTTCTGACTGTAGGGTGTAGAGACAGATCAGCAGTGGCATTTTATTTAAAGATTTGTTTGCGATCCCTGTTTGTTTGCCATGAGGGAGAGCCAGGAGACATGTGGAAAGGTGTAAAACAGATCGGAAAGTATTTCTTTCCAGGTGGGATACAGGAAAAATATTCCAGCAAAAATCCAGCCTTCCTGGTTCTGCCAGGATGCAGTCTTACCTTTCTATTTAGCCTACAGTTAGTAAAACTATCTGGTAAAAGCTCTGGATTTAGAACTTCATGCAGTCTTAAAAGCTGCTTTGAAGGCATCCAGTTACCTCTAAAGATACTTTTTTCCTTCTACTCTTGCACATCTCTGAAAGGTCCCAGGTACTAGATTGCAGGCGCGTCAGGAAGCTTTCCAGGCTTCTGCCTTGTGGCAGAAGAAAGACTGAAACATCCTGGCGTGACCCTTAAACTTGCTCTTCTTTTTGGATAGCAGCTTTGGATAGCTTCTAAAAGGAACAGTCTTGTGTCTTACACACCTTCACATGGTTTAGCAATTGCTCGTACACGAGTTTCTTACCGTGACTGAGAAATCATCATTTATTTTGTCCAAGCAGTACATGCAATGTAACGCTAAGGCTTTTCAGAGGTTTGAACTGTTCTTGCAGCAGTGATCAAGGATGTTTGGCAGGGTCAGTGTGCGTCGAAAGGGTCTGAAGTGTTCGTGCCTGGAGCCAGCAGTATGGGGCGGGTAAGGCAGGATGGGTACACCGAGGTGCAGCAAGCGGAAATGGAAAAGCATCATTACTCTTGGAGGCAAAGAAAAGGAGGAGGCTGACTGGGCAGGGGAAGAATCGTAAGAAAAAACAAAACAGAAGCAGCATGTATGAGGTGTGACACTGCAGTACAGCCTCGGTGCAGCGATGGGAGATCTGTAATGGCTGCGCAGCCAAAATGCTGTAGAAAACCAGGCTGCAAAGTGTATGAGCAAACGGCAATATTCTCAAGCTCTTTCTGAAACAGATTTTATCATATATATGATTGAACATTATGGAAAAAAGTCCTAATTTCCATAATGACTTTTTTAATTTGTCCAATTATCCGGTGAAACTAATTGAGGGTGCTCTTGCTCTGTTGTATGATATATGAAGTGATTTAAAATATGTATATTTGAACCGTCTGGATTTCTGTTTTGAGTATTTTCATTATAACTGAATGTGTAATAGTAAATTGCAAGTTACTTATCACTTTAAATGGCTTCCTTTTTTTTTTTTAATTATTTGTGTTCTAAATGTGCAAAATACAAAAATAACGGAAAAGCAATGAAGCTGTTGCTTCAACTTGGCTTTTAAGCTCTGTAGTGCATAGAGGCTGAGGGCAATCGATACAGACCAAGAAATCAATATCTTATCATGATATAAAGTGGGGAATTATAAACTTCTCCAGTGCTTTCAAAAGATTTTTCCTGAAATACTGAGCTAGTTAATCAGGAACCCTTGAGAGATTTTTTTTCATTGTCAAAAATAAAAGTTATATTTTAAGCTAATGGCCAAGAGCATTTGGTATTCATGGTAGCAAATTCTGCAGAGAAGCTTTCAGGAGCCAGAGGGCTACAGACTTACCTGCTGTCTCTCACAGTTATATATGAGCCAGCAAATGTTTCAAAAATCCATTCATCGCTAACACGGTCTTTCAAAATTGGTTTCTTCCAGCACCTGCCGCCTCCGCTCCCCAGCAAGACTCCCCCGCCTCCGCCTCCAAAGACAACTCGGAAGCAAACGTCTGTTGACTCTGGGATTGTCCAGTGAAGAAGGAAGCGTTTTTTCCAAAGATAAAGCTGTAACAATTCATTTCCCTAAGTATTTTATGGTATATAATGTTTACCTCATTCAGGCGTGCAGTATCTAACATTTAGTGCAATGACTCTAACTCCGTAAGAAATCTATTTCTAGCTGTGTGTGGGAAACAACACTACATTGCCCCTCTTTCTGGGGTTATTCCCTCCCGTAACTTGAAAGAAATCTGGATTTCTACTTGAGACCGGGAGGTATTCATCAACTGACAGTGCCCTCTTCCTAAACCTTCTCCCTGCTTCTTCTGAATAACTTCAGGCACATAGGTAGCTGTGGACATTAAAATGAGAGTTGACTATTTTGTACCTAAAGCATTCAGGTAGCTGTGGAGTTTAAAATGAGCTGAGTATTTTGTACCTAATCTCAGCGTATATAGGAATCGATGATGATATTCACATTGAATTCAGTGCATGTTCGAGTAGGCTTCACAGTAAGGAGAAGCTGCCGTAGGATTTCCCCAAATAACGGTTCTGCCCAGGGCTAAAAATCAGACACGGCGTATTTGTGAAATGTGCCTTCTCTGTAATTGTTCTGTGTTACAAATAAACCGATCGCTAATGGGCTTTGTAAGATTAGTCGTTGGTGATCAGTCGTTTCCATTTTTGTTCAGTTGGCCCTTCTGGGTGCTGATCGGAGGGTAAAGCGAGAAAGCCTTTTAGCTGCTGAGCGTATAGGAAAAGGAACGGAGTGGGCAGGTAGGAGACTCCTGGTCGTTCTGAACGCAGCAGTCGACGACAAGAATGGGAAGAGCTTCTTCTTTTCTTCTTTAATGTGTAATATTTCATGTGGATTAGGATGAACTGAATGGAATCACTTTGTCCTTGTGCCATCATTCTGTACAGCGTTTGTATATATGATGGTTTTTAGAATGTTTTAATTTTTATGGTGCCTGCTTTTCATGTAATAATGAATTAATGTACCTGCAAAGAATGCCTTACGTATTTTTAATTTCCTAATTGCTGAAAGTGTAAAAAAAAAAGGAAATTTTTTCCAGATATTAGGCTCTGAGACATATTGGACAATGGTGGGGTGGGGTGTTGGGAGGGAGGAAGGAAACTAACTTTAGCATTTTTTATTGTCATCACTCTCATTTTTTACTATCTACAATCTTTTTACTCTTATGGTAGTTTGTTTTTAAATATACCACTGACTCAAAAAATAAAATATTATTTTAAAAACTTGTCTAAGAAAATGAATACATTTCCGTGGTATTTTTGATCCTCATTGCAGAATTTCAGGAACTGTTGCACTCTATAGAGGTCTTCATATACACTTACTCCCCTTTTTTCTGAACGGTTTTGAGGGAGCCCGTGATAAAACTGGAGTGTTTCATAGCACTGGTGTGCTTATTCCTGCATGTATGTAGTACTGAGATAAAACACATGTCAGCTCTAGAAATGTCCATCTTTGTATGCTGTCTATGTTCAAATGATAGTTACTGTAAGTTGTAAGTTATCTCTTGCAGAACACTTCAGCAAACAGATGAGGTTTAGGTAGTATTTTCTACCTCAAGTAGCTGCTACATGATGCAAGTGGCAGGCAGAAGCATGACTTACACAGCAGTAAAACAATAATGTTGTTACAAAGGCAGAAAGATTGCCTTTCTCTTAAAAAGTGGCTCGAATGGTCAATTATGTATTCTCATAATTTTGTCTTAAACCATCGTGTCGCTTTAGATCAAATGAACACGCTTTTTCTTGCAATAACATCAGCTACCAGAGTGTCTCAGAATTTACTGTTTGATATTGTCCTACAATTCCCTGTTTATTTTGTTATTAGTATAATCTCCATTCAAGAGGAACAAGCTGGGAAGGATTCTTAGCTAGTTTCGATCAGATATTCTTTCTGTAGATGATCAATAATGTATTACAACTTTAATTCTGTAAGTCTTTAATTTAATTGAAAATTGCTTTAGAGACTGCTCTTGTTACTGTGCGAGGATCGTGCTGGCATGCTGGTGAGTTTTCCTCTTTTCTGTTCCATTTGCTTTCTGAAGGATGGGAAGAGGCTTTCACATGGACCTCTAACTGGATGCTTGTAAATTGTATTTTTGATAATGTGTTTGTTTTCACACGTCCTTAGCAAATTCCTGTGCTCACACAAGTGTTACAATTTGGCCCTGCAAGACTCCTCAGACAAGAGCTGCGCTTTCAAATTGGTCCTGCGGTACAAACTCTAAATCTCATATGTGTGTATGTTTTACAAATATGCAAGCTGAGACTGGGAATTGAAAATCAGACTCTCAGATTCACTTTCAGACTCAAATTGTCACCATTTTTACAATCTAACAGCTTCTAGGCTATAACTTGTATAAAAACCAGCCAGAACGAATCATTACCCTCCTGAAAGTGCTGTAAAAACACACTTCAGCAAATCCAGAAACTCGGTCAGTCACAGTCTCTGAGCAGTGAACAATCCTGCGAAGGCTGGGTTTTTTCCTACGGTGTGCTCTTGTCCTTTGTATTCCGGTGCATGGTATCAGAGCATCTCTGTGCAATAAGAAGTTCGTCTGACATTGGTTGCAGCAAAGGAGAGCCAATGTAGAAGAGCTTGCTAGGTGACAATACAGAAAAAGATGGTTATTTAATTTTCACCAAAGTGGTATCACTTACACTTGCCCTGTCACGCTCACATCCTCACAAGGGTCGAGGCACTCGTGCCCAAGTAATGGGTTGCTTGCTGTCATGGAGAGGACCAGAGGTGCCTGCGGTGAAGTCCACATCCCGTCTCCTGCGTGGTTCTGAGGTTGGTGAACATGCGCTGGTTGTTGGATGTGCCTTGGGCCCCTTTGGGAGTTGGCGGTGACTGTGATCTCGTGTCTCTTTAGTCTGTCTTACTTCTGGGGGAATTCATGAGGCAGCACTCGGTGTATTCGATGTCTGGTGTCTCCCTGCCTGGTGAGGATGCTCTACAGTTCCAGTTCTGCTCTTCCTCTTCCCACCATCATCCCTTAATGGCCTCAACGAGTCTTTTGCTTTCCCCACCTCTACGTTACCTTGCGTAGCTGGGATTGGCATGACCTGGTCGAGCTATCACTGCTTTATGCTGCCAGCTCTCCTGGTGCCTCCATGCCCAAAGGTTCAGACTTCATTCAAACTGGTATTTCTGCTACAAGAGGATGCTGAAAGCAAGCCGCTAGGAAAGGTGACCCCCTCCATGTCTTCCATAGCAGACCCTGCCATCCCCTCGCTCAGACTTGAGAGCAATACCACAAGGCTTTGCAATACAAATTTTCCTGAAAGAAGATATTCACAGGTGTCAAGTTTCTCTATACTGTGAGAAAACAGATTTTTCAATGACCAGTAATTTTTGGTTCTTGAAAGTTAGCTTGAATTTACTTACTGAAAGTTACCTTGCAGTGCCAATAGAAAAAGGAGAAGCCATTATTACCATTTCTCTGAGACTTAGCTTGGGAGTGAGAGGGTAATTTTTGCAGGTGCACAGATCAATTCCCATCAGGCCCATGCAAAACCGCAAAGGATTTGGGCAGCCGTTGTTTGTTTTTTAATCATATTTATTTTCAATGGGAAGCTCAATGCAAAGGTCAGTTCGTAAGCCGGTTTCCATAATTGACATTTATGATTACTGAAATGTCTCTGATGATACTACAAATTCTGAGTGTAAAAATGTTTTTAAATTCAGTTTTGTCAGAACATACGTGTTTTTCTTTACCATGGATGTCTGCAATATGCAACGTTGCAGAGAAAAACTGTAAAAAGTTTGCAGTGCATATACGTTTATGATGTATAAGAGATTTATGTGAGTGCATATACATGTGTATACATGCACACACATCTAAACACAGATTTTTTTTTTAATGTAAAATATCTCACTTCATTGACTAGTTGAGGTGTCCACCTTCTTAATTTACATTAGACATCTTCCCAGCGATTCTTGTGACCTTTTTGGGGACCATTCTATGCCAGAAGCTCAATGATGTGTTGATGCCAGTTGTCCCATGATGGATGTTCACAATTACCTCTTTTTAGTAAAGGGTCTTTGGATAAACTAGTCATTTCTTATACACATATTTCACACAATCAGGTGAGTAAGCAGAAAATTTCTTACAAAAGTTATAGCTGGTTTGATGTTTAAATATATGTAGACCACATTTAGACAGTGTATGGTGTAACAGGAATGATTCTCTTCTTATGATCCAGCAGTTCCCATCCTGCGTTGTGCTTTGGAAAGTTTTTGGATGCCGTTTTGAACAAACAGAAGTAAGCTGAAGGTAGAGGAAGGTAAGGCAGAAATTGTTTTCCCTGGGCCTGTTACGTTACACGTCCGTCCGCGGTGTTTCGCAGGATGTTGCACTTCATCGTCTGTAACTGTCAGGAGCGCGCGCCACCGGGAAACCGGTTGCCCTTTCCGTTGCCGCTGCGTTCCAGCCCTTACTGGAAAGGTGATGCCTCGTGCAGCTTCTCCCCATCTCTTCTTCACGTTCTTTGAGCTTTCTCGCAATAAAAAGTGAGGGAGGGTGTTTTGTTTTTTGTGGAAATGCAGGATGCCTTTCTGGTGGTTTTCCTACTGTTAATGCATCCTTTGAGATGCCACACTGAAAAATTGCCTGCGTTTGCGCTCAATGTGTTTAAATTCCCTGCAAGACGCTCAGGGTGCCCACGTGGACTAGAGCCCAGGGAGAGCCCTGAGCTGGAGCAGGTCTCCCAGGAGGATGGGTGGTGAACGTGGCCAAGCTTCGTGCCTGCTCAGCACCATCCAGCTGTGGGGCTGGGGCCGGGCCAGGGCTGCCTGCATCCCTCTGCACAAATAGAATAAGGCATTTTTCAATCTACACCTTATCGTGTGATGAAGCAATAAATTGTAGCACATGTAGAATATGCCCGTGAAAAAAAGACCAAGCGCTTGAGTGATGGTGAACACTGAAATTCAGGGCTTTCCTTTATCCTCAGCTTTCAGTGTTAACACGGTAATGGGAAGCGTGAGGTCCAGCTGCTCTGACATTTCAATTTCCTCTCGTTCCCCTTTTGTACTTTTCATGGATCTAAACTGAATTTCAGGATTGCAATTGCCATCTTCTTGGTGATGCAGAAACGTGTGGATCGGTATAAATACTTGGTTATTGTATGGGATCTAACCAGCTGTTCTCCAGTGAGGCTATTTATAGGATTTTTAATTTCCCTCGGTTTTGTCATATGTATTCTGCAGACATGAATAATTACTGTAAATTAGGTTTCTCTATCAAATGGCAGACAATTTTTTTTTTTTTTAATTTCCAGTGTGTGCAGTGTTGTATTCTAGCACTTTAATATGAACTTGCTGAATTAAATAACTCATTTCACATCTAACTGAGCTGGCTGTGGACCGTTGTAGTGAGGAGATGTACGGACCCTGTTGTGAGACTGAGTTGGGACGGAGACTCCATTCAATCTCATGTTGCATTTAGCCAAGCGGTTTCCATTCCCCCACGCCGTCTTGTTACAGCTGCACGTTGATGTATGGCTTTCAGAAT